CTTGGGGCCCCAATTGTTCTTGACCTTAGCCAATCCCAGTCCCTGAAGCTCCACCTTGATGCTGGCTGACCTGTCCTCCCACCCCCACTGCCTCCTGACCTTGGCTCTCTCCAGGAGGCACTGAGCTAATCAGGCTGATTATCGCCCAGGTCCAAATCCATTTTCCTTAGTTACAACACACAGTAAATTTCCTTAGCCGCCTGGCTCCCTGTGAGCCCTGCCTCTTGTCAGGCAGCCTGCCTTAGGAAGTCAGCATCCTGCATCCTCCCCCCTCTTGCCCCCCCTCCACCCGCCTGCTGTATCATCACAGATGAATCAAGTCTGCCTGACCCCAGGGGTGTCATCTAAACACCATCTCCAAAGTCACATCACCCTCAGCAACAAAACACAATTGTCACATCTTCCCAGATCTAATAAAATCTCTGGGGTTCTGATTGCCAAGACCCTTACTGTTTTGCAAAAGAATATGCTCTGATCAGTGTGTTTGAGGGCTGAGTTTTAGAGGATGCTTTGAAAACCATTTCCCTCTTCTCTACACATTCTGAGGACGAATTAGCAGCATTAGTCTTTGTTCACCATCAGGGGATGGCCCTTGTACTTCCAGCCTCATTTCATACTTGTCCCATCCCCAGGGTCTTTGGGTGACTGAAAGTGACATGAAAAGACCCAGGGAAGAAAAAGAAGGAAGACCAGGATGCTGTATTTATTCCCAAACCCAGGCCCCCCTGGGATGGAGAAAAAAAGCGATGCTGACCATTTCTTCTGTCTTGATCTCTTCTAGAGAGAGTGAGGCTTGGCTGTGGGAGGAAGGGAGAAAAGAGGAAACCAGAATATGTAAGTGTCCTGGGCATGCAGGGCTTGTGCTAGATTCTACGGCCTGGAACCCGGTGCTTTCCAAAGGATCGGAGATAAGCGTGTGTGAAACAATTAGAGAACAAGTAAGAATGCAATTCTGTTATGTTGACACAAGCCAAAAAGGCCACAGACGGGTGAGATGAATGTGACAGGAGATGCTTTAAAAAACATTGTGGAGATGAATCTTGATTCAATTAAATGTAACAACCATGAATAGCATCTTCTATGCACAAGGCACTGTGTTAGGTGCTATGGGGGTACAGAGGGGAACAAAGCCCCATGTGTACCAGGTGGGGGGATAGTTATGTAGGGAATATTATCAATGTGATATAAAAAGATATGTAACAATGTTAGGAAGTAGTCTGGCCTGAATGTTTGTGTCCCTGCCCCCAAAGCCCTAATTCCCAATGTGATGGCATTTGAAGAGGGGGCCTTTGGGAGTTAGATGAGGTCATGAAGGTGGGGCCCCGGTGTGATGGAATTAGTGCCTTTATAAAAATAGACACCAAAGAGCCCCCCCCCCCCCCCCCAAAGCAGTCATGAGATCACAAGGTGAGAATGAGGCCATCCGCAAGTGCAGAAGAAAGCCTTTACCAGGACACAATCTTGCTGGCAGCCTAATCTTGGACTTCCAGCCTCCAAAACGGCAAGGAAATTAATACTTGTTTAAACCACCCAGGATATGATATTTTGTTATGGCTGCCTGAGCTAAGACAGGGAGACGTAGATGAGACAGATGAATTGTGAAGAGTTGTATCAGAGAGGCTTTCCTGGAGGAAGTGGGATTATAGCTGCAGGATGAATCAGGTTCGAGAGAGGAAGGGGTGGGAAGGGCATTTCAGGCGGAAGAAGCAGCTGAGGGGAGGGGGTGGCATTTCAGCAGAGCTTGCGGTGGAGAGATGAGGAGAGATGGAGCCACGAGGGAAGTGGGCCCCGATCCCAAGGACCTTGAAAACCACTCTGAGGAGTGTAGCTTTTGCTTTAGAAAGAGCAAGTGAGCCCTGGCCCGTGCGCCTCAGTTGGCTGAGTGTCACCCCATGCATAGAAAGGTTGCTGGTTTGATTCTTGGTCAGGGCACATACCCAGGTTGGGGGCTTGATCCTGGGTGGAGGTGTAATTTTTCTCTTTTCCATCAATGTCTTCTCTCTCTCTCTCTCTCTCTCTCTCTCTCTCTCTCTCTCTCTCTCCCCCTCCCCCCAATAAAAACTTTTTTAAAGAGCAGGTGAACAGCATAGTTGGGAAAGAGCCAGGGGCTTTGGCAGGAAGGAGTGATTATCAGGAGGGCAGGCCACAGGAATAACTGTGAGCAGACAAGGCGATCTGCTGGGCCAGAGGGGAGGCCCTGAACAGACCCATGGTCCAGGCAGGGGCAGCGCCAAAGGGGAAGCCGTGCACCTGGAGCTGTGTGGCTGGGGGTGACGTAGGAGCCAGAGGTGAGCCTGGAGGGGTGGTTCTCAAACTCCTATTTGCTTTTAAGCCCCGGCCAGAGCCCCCTCTCCGTGTCTTAGTGTCTCCGCTTCTAACCTCCTTTTGTGCGTCTCTGTGCATTTAGATTTCCCTGCTTCTACAAAGTGGAGGGGCCTTCCTGTCATCTTGCCCCCATATTTTAAGGTTGGAAGAGGAGAGGAAGGAGAGACTTAAAAGAGAAAGGCTATGGAAAGAGAGAATTGTGAGGGGAAAAGTTGATGTAACAATAACTGTTTTCTTTCTTTCTAGAACTTTCTCTGAGTCAGGTTTTGTTCCAAAGACTTTACATGTACTAACCCAGTTAATCCCAAGAGCAGCCCCACAGGGAGGGCACATACCTGATGGTCAGGAACACAGACATGACTGGTTTATTATCTCAGCTTTACGATCCACCGACTGCATGATCTTGGGCAAGTTCCTGGATGTCTCTTTGCCTCAGTTCCCTTACCTGTGTGATGGGGATGATGAAAGTTCCCACTCCGCAGGGTTGTAAGGAATATGTGAGTTAAAATATACAACACTTAGGACGGTGCTGGGCACAAGGTGAGCGGTCACTCAGTTTTTCCAGCTGAGAGAACTGAGGTCCAGAGAGAAGGTACTTTCCCAAGCTCACCCAGGTGGCTGGACAGCTCACCCAATGTTGGACCTGGGCCAGCTATGAATCTAGTCTTCCTCTCCATGAGCAGATGTGAGCAGAGAGCAGGATGGAACCGAGGCGGGTAATACGGTTTCAGGCTGGATGTGGGGTCAGTAGACCTTTTAAATCCCCCCTCGCATGGCTACTGATACCCGGGCCTGTGGGAGGTGGCTCTGACAGGAAAGACACCTGATTCAGCCCATGCTATAGACTAAATGTGTGTTTCCACCACAAAATCGTATATGGAAGCCTAATTCTCAGTGTGATGGTGTTAGGAGGCGGGGCCTTTTGGGAGGTGATTAGGTCATGCGGGCGGAGCCCTCGGGAATGGGATTAGCGCCCTTATAGAAAATGCCCACGAGAGCTCTCTCGCCCTTTCCACCATGTGTGTTTACAGAGAAAGGACAGTTGTCTGTGAACCAGGAAGCAGGTGCTCACCAGATGCCAAATCTGTTCATACTATGATCTTAGACTTTTCAGCTTTCAGAACTGTGAGAAACAAATGTCTGCTGTGTCTAAGCCAGCCTGTCGATGGTGTTCTATAACAGAAGACTGAACCGACTAAGACAACCCAGTTCTAGGGGCTGGGGAATTTTATGGCAAATATGGGAATGAACCAAGTGAAGCCTAAAGACGAATGAGGGAGGTCGGGAGGGAATGGCAGGGAGCTGCCGAACGGTACCTGCAGGTGCTCTAAGTGTCCACGAGGGGGCAGCAGAGCATAGGCTCTTTCTTAGGTTACGGTTAAGTGGTCTGTGGAAGAGACCTCCCAGCACAAAATGAATCCTGGGCTGCGCGGCAGGAATAGTACCAAAGCATTCTAAAAATGTTACAAATCGCAGTGACGAGGGGGATTTTAACAACAACCTAGTCCTTATTTAGCACAAGGCAAGACTAAGTCCCAACTGTCAAATCCGATTTCCCCAAATTTAACCAAGGCAGCTAATGAGAAAGCAGGAAATAGAACCCGAGGCTCCATCTCTTCAGATCTGTGGAAAGAGTCCATTTCCAGAGGAACTTGGTTCTCTCTCAGTAGGAAGTGGGTCCCACTGTCATGTGAGTGAGTGAGTGAGTGTGCGTGGGATCTTCTTGGCATCCTCGGTCAGCCAGTGATGCCAGGGAAGGTCAGAGATGGTACTCTTCTTGGCTGCAAATTTCCCTTTTGTCATCTTGAGGCCAAACTCATCCGAACCTACATCCTGGAGGAGAGACGGGGAGGAGGAGAGAGCCTGGCAAGTGAGAAACAGGAGCTTGTATAAGGTGTTGACTGGAAATGGTATGAGAACCATGAAACATTTCATAAAATTGCTTGTGTTGTTTTTAGTTATGTAAAATATATGATTATATTGACTAACAAAAAACCCCAGGCTCTGTAAACAAAAAGAACTTTAAAAATAATTATAATCTTATATACTAAAAATGCTATACATTAAAAAAACATGTTTTTCATGAAGAGGTGATTCAATACATTTTACAAGATATTTTTTGTAACGGAGAGGCAAGCCAGGGTTTGAAGGATCACCACTGTAAACCGGTTGGTGAGAATGCTGTCCTTGGTGCTGAAGCTGGGCTTAGAGGACGAAGAACCTTCCCAGACACAGCAGAAGGAACTCGTTTGAGGTCATGACAAGCCCATTGGGGGTTCCACGGTGTTTCTATTTGATTCTCAGAACTGTGGTCTTTCTTCTCTTCTTCTTTATTTCTTTTATTTTTAAAAAATATATATTTTTAATGATTTAAAAGAGGAAGGGAGAGAGAGAAACATCAATGATGAGAGAGAATCACTGGTCAGGTGCCTCCTGCACGTCCCAAACTGGAGATGGAGCCCGCAACTCGGGCATGTGCCCTGATTGGGAATCAAACCACGATCTCCTGGTTCATAGGTCAATGTTCAACCACTGAGCCATGCTGGTTGAGCCTTCCTTATTTCTTATCATGTTCTCGTGGAATGCTCTTAATGGAGAAATGTTCCATGAAACTTAGCTGAATGGAGATCTCCTCATTTCCAGACCCCACAGCTCCATGTGAAATTTCTTTTGCCTTAAAATGATTCCATCATCACCTCAGGCCTCCGAATTTTTATCTGGAAAGAGAGTGAGAACCAGGTGAAGGTTGGGCCCATGAGAAACCTGGAATTTGGGAGCATGAGAGTCTTGGGAAAAGGGAAGCATTCAATTTAGAACTTATTCTATTCATTGGAGCCTAGTCCAAGCCAACAGTTTCCCTCCACTCTCCCTTACCCCCAAATTAGGTCAGTTTGTAAGTGTCCTAGCTAGGAGTTCACCTCTCCCACAAGGTTGTCTCTAGGGAAGAGAACCAGTGCCTGAAGCCAATCGCACTTCCTCTGAGGTGAGAATATTTTGAGGGTATTCCTTCTGCCCTCGAATATCCACCCAGTTAAAATAAAAGTGGCAATCGAGAAGTTGTCATCCCTTACCTAAGTGACCTGTCTTGGCTTCAATCATAGTGAGACAACCTGACATTATGTACCCCTGGAGGTGATGCATTGCCATTATCTATGATGTATGCTTAACAAAAATGGTTAAGGTGAGTGTAATCAAGCCTGTTGACCAAATTGCCAGTTTATAGGAAATACAGAGGATGGAAGGACATGTTAAATTACATCATAAGGAAATAATTAAACAAATCCAGAATGTGGAGCATTCCTTAAGACAACCATCTTGGACTCTTACAAAAACCAATACAGGGGGTTGGCAAAAGTAGGTTTACGTTTGTGAGTATGAAACATACAGAGTTTATTCTTACATTATTATTTATTAATAATTGTATTATTTTCCATACTAACAACTATAAACCTAGTTTTGCCCACCTTGTATATTTAAAAAAAGGTAGGAGCCAGTAGTTGGTTAAAAGACCGAAGAGACACAACAGAAGTCAGTGAGTGAAATTTGTGGTATTCACATTTGAAAAAAAACTGGTTATAAGAGATGTTCTTGGGATAATTGGAAAAATTGATATTGGATGCTATTCTAGAATATTATCCAGTGGTTTCTGAGAGTGTGTACTAATATGCTTAGCAATCAAGTGTCATAATGTTTGCAATTGACTTCCAAATGGTTCAGCATTTATCACACTATTATTTTGACTTTCATGGTGTTTGAAAATTAAAATAACTAAATAATTTGGCCATCAAGGACATAAAAGCGCAGAAGGAAACCTCTGAGCCTGAAGCAGGGTCTTAAAAGGGGGGGCCCCACCTTGCTGCTTAGCTCTCTTCCCCACCTGCTGCCGTTTTCCAGCAGGGTAGGCCTGGATGATCACCTGGACTAACAAATCCTAAACATGACGTTGCTTTCCCGAAGATCCTACCATGGTAGGAGGGGAGATGGGATCTCGGGGGGGGGGGGGGCGTGGGGGGGGGAGCCTCTCATGCAGACCCTTCTTACCTTTGTTTTAGAGTCTATGTGGTCCAGGGAGGGCTGGAAGTTACTGTAGATGGAATCCAGGTTGATGGAGTTATTTGGTTCTAGACAGGGAGAAAGCCCCACGTAAGCACATGGCTGGGAAGACAAGCTCTCATCGCTCCCTTTAGTCCCACCCACTGCCAGATGAGGAGCACGTCCCCACTTCACAGGAACCTGAAAAGTCCTTGCAAACATGAGAAGCTGCATTGATTTTTCGAAAAATGTAAAAAATCACATTTAAATATTCAACAACGAAAAGCCATAAGTGCTTTGCCAGCAGCTTCTCAAGTTCATGAAGTCCAATAAGCTTTGGCCTGGCTTGGGGTGCCGTGTGATAGCTTTAGGATATTGACTGCCCCAATTCATGAACAGTGGCTTTTTATTCGAATAGGTTTTCACCAATGTTTTAAAATAAAGTTTTATCATTTTCCTTGGTCTTAAACATCCTTTGTTAAAGGAGTTCTAGGTGTTGCATTTTTATATGACATTAGAGGCCTAGAGCACGATTAAATCGAACGCGTCCCCTAGGCTAGCCTGCCATCAGGGCCATGTCTGCCCTGGGACCCTCTGCCGACACTGCCAGTGCCCCGGGGTGGGGGAGGGCGGGACCCCATAACAGCTTTTACCTTCTGCCTCAATTCCTCTCCTAGCTCGCGCCCTTCCCCCGAGGGCCACCTCCCCCCCCTTAACCCCCCCTCTGCCCCACCGCTGGCCGCCTGCACCCCTGCCCCCCGCCCCCACCCCCGGCAGAAGCACCTCCGCTGGCCACCTGGGGACCCAAGCTCCTGTCCCTGCCCCTGCCTGCCGGGCACCCTTCCCCTGCGCCCTCTTCCCCGCACGGCCCCGCCCACCCGCCCCTGAGACCCATCAATGCACCTCCTGGTGACTGGTCTTTGGTCATTATGGTGTTACGACCACTGGGTTTTTATTACATAGATTATCTGTTTGTCACTGATGCATAGAAATGCAATTCACTTTATAAAAATTGATCTTATATCTGGCAACTTTGCTAAATTCTGTTAATTTTAGTGATTTAACGTTCTTTTGGGTTTTACGTAAGACAATCACATCAGCAAATGAGAGGTTTATATTTTTCTTTCCAATCGTTAAACACTTTTCTTTTTTTAGTATTCTGTTCAGCACACCCAAGACAATAAGTAATAGAACTGGTGATAGAAGACATCTGTGACTTGCTCCTGATTCAGTATAGGAATTGACGAACTACCACATGTGAACCAAATCCAGCCTGCCACTTATTTTTATATGTCCCACAGCTAAGAATTTTTTAAAAATTTAAGTGGTGAAAAAAATTTTAATGGAACAAAACCACACCCATTCATTCACTTATATATTGTCTATGTCTGTTTTCATGTTACATCAGCAGAGTTGAGTAGCTGTGACAGAGATCGTATAGCCCACAAGCCCCAAATATACCCTTTATAAAAATGTTTGCTGACCTGGCTGGTTTGCTACGTGGTTAGAGCGTCAGCCTGTGGACCCAAGGATTGATGCTTTTATTTTCGGTCAAAGGGAGTGCCTCCATTGCAGGCTGGACCCCTAGCCCCAGTGGGGGTGCATGTGGGAAGCAATGAATCAATGTGTCTCTCTCAATGTGTGTGTCTCTCTCTCTTCCCTCCTCTCTCTTTTCCACTCTCTCTAAAAAAAAATCAATGGAAAACATATCCTTGGGTGAGGACTAAAAAAAAAAAAAAAAAATTTAACCCCTGGGTAAAGTGAATGACTTTTAATGTTTTATCATTGAGAATAATTTTTGTGTGTTTGTGTGGATGCCTTTACCAGAAAATGGAAATTCTATTTCTAATGGGATGACTTTTTCTGATGAGCAGACATATATTAAATTTTTTATTTTGCATCTATTGAGGTGATGAATGTTTCTTCTTATTCTGGTAATGTAGTGAATTTATACATAGATTTTCTAATCTTCAGCTAACTCTGTTTTCTAGAATAAACTCAGGTAGTTTTGTTTTTATACCTGATGGATTTGGTGTGCTAATTTTTTGTTTGGTATCTTTGTATCTATGTGCACAGTGAGTTTGGTCTTTACATTTTGGCCCATGAATTATTTAGAAACTTTAAGGACATTTCCAAAGATATAGGATTTGTGTTTTTGTTTTCCAGAAATATTTTTTGTTATTGATTTCCAACTCACTTGCATTGTAGTCATATACTACAGTCTGATTTAAATAACTTTAAAATAATTATTGAGCTCTAGCCAGTTTTGCTCACTGGCTAGAGCATTGGCCTTCGGACTGAAGTGTCCTGGGTTCGATTCCGGTCAAGGGCACATGCCCCAGTGGCGAGCTCGATCCCCAGTAGGGGGCGTGCAGAAAGCAGTCCATCAATGATTCTCTCTCATCTTGATGCTTCTCTCTCTCTCTCTCTCTCTCTCTCTCCCTCTCCCTCTCCCTCTCCCTCTTCCTCTCCCTTCCTCTTTGAAATCAATGAAAGTATATTTTTTTTAAAAAAAAAGGAAAGGAAAAAAATTATTGAGAATTTTTTCTGGCTTTGTGTGTGGTGATTCTTACAAGTTTTCCATAGACTCATGTAATGAATGTATACTCTCTAGTTGTTGAATGCAGTCTGTCTATAAAAATTATATTAAGGCTGTTATTTATTTTATATGAAACTTATATATTCTTGACTGATTTTTTTGCCTGCTTGATCAATCAATTACTAAGAGAAATTTTTAAAAAAATCTCACCATGTTGGTGAAGTAATCAATTTTTACTTGTAGTTTTGTCAATTTTTGCTTTATATATTTTAAAGCTGTATTAATAGGACTCACAATTTAGACTTGTTATACTTTCTTAACAAACTAAACAATTTCCCAGTAGATATTGATCATTTTTTATCCCTAGTAATTCTTTTTGCCTTAGAGTTTATTTGCCACAATGAAATAGCTATATATAGAACAACAGCTATTTTGGTATTAGTCTCTTCTGTCTTTCTCCATACTCCTGTTTTCATCCTGACTCTGTGCTTGTATTTTATATGTGCCTTTCACCCACAGTGAATAGATTTTTAAGAACCTACTCTTTTAATTGGTGTGTTTAACTCATTTATATTTATTATAGTTATTGAGATGGTTGGATTATTTTCTATCTTATTTTGTGCTATTTGTCATACTCTTTCCCTTTTTTGTTTCCCTTTTCTTGCTTTTTTGTGGTTAGACTAAAATGTTTTCCTCATTCCAATTTTCCCCTTCTTTAGAATTTAAAGGCAATTTTAAGAAATATTCTCATTCCATTTTTCCTTTAAAGACTCAACTTCTAGAATCTAGACATTTAAACATGTACATTTAACCTAACAAAATCTATCATTAATCTCTTTACTGCGCCATAAGCCACATGTCCGTGAGGTTCCCTACTCCTAGGTGCTTATCTGTGCTCACATATGCACAGCTTTGTGTTCCAGAGAAATCTATGACCATCAAATAACCTGAGACGCCCCTCCCCCTGGTCTAATGATGCTGTGCCCATACTTGTGCCCCATCCAGGGCCTTGCAGGAGCCAGTGGTGGAAATAAGGTTGCAGATGAGGAACCAAATGTTTTGGAGATGAAAATGCTTTTACCTTTTGCTCCTTCAAGCCCCTCCCGCATGCCTCAGTTGTGTGTCTCCAAACTTTGAGATATTTTTAGCGCACTGAGAATTTCCAATACCTTCATAGATGTCAAAGCCAATGTTTTGGAAGGTCCCAGGGGCTGGTCCACCATCCTCCTCATGCCAGTTGTACAACTCAGTCACTTTGGCCTTTTGTCTGTTGATAGAAACACCAGGAGATCCCATTTTGAGTAGAGAATGGGGAGGACTGGTTCTGTCCACCTCAAGGATAAAATGATTAAAGGCAGGGGGATCAGAAAAGGAGGAGGAGCTGCAGGCAAACAGAAGAGGCAGCGGCAGCGGCTTACCTTTTCACTTCTCTCTTGGAGCGGAACACGAACACCAGGAGGATGACGAGGGCCACCAGCACCACTGCGCCCGCTGCCCCCACGAGCCCGTACACCAGGCTCTTCTTGGTGCTAACCTCACAGGTTTCCCCACTGTACCAGTCAGTGTTTGTGTTCAGGCAGCTGAGATGGAGAAAAGGTGCAGGTGGGAAGAGGGAGTCATTCAGAGTCAGGGCCAACCAATGCCTGCAGTCCCCCAGCCTCAAAACTGGCCTTGACCCCGTGGGTGCTTAATGAGAAGGTGAAGAAGAGACTTTGGGGATGCAGAGCAAGGCGGCCTGAGGGGATGAATGGAGGCAAAGTCCAGCTTGGGGGGGGGGGGGGCTTAAATAGTCCTAATACCCAGCTCTAGGCCTTCAGGTTTTGCAACCCAAGACCTAAAACAGTTGGCCCAACTCGGGCTTCCCCGGGCTACACCCAGGAACTTGAGGACCCAACAGAGACCCTTTCACCAACACATTAATCAGCTTTGTTTTCGGCCTCCCCCTCTACGGGGAAGGACAATCCCCCAGGCCAGATCCAGAACACCTCTGAAGCAACTCCTCTTCCCCGAAGGCGCCCTTTCTACGCTCTGTTCCTCTCCTCCCTGCGATAACCTGTAAACTCCTCTGCCAGGAGGCTTTCCCAGAATAGCTACTCAGGCCTTTGCATCTGTGTGACTCCTTCCCCCATACCTGGTGCTCCAGCTGCTCTCTCTGGTTTAGTTTCAGTAGGCAACGTCTTTCTTTTCGTTCCTCCTCCCTTGATTTTTACAGGCTTTCCACCCTTCCCATGTAGGTGGGACTTCTATCTCCATTTCACCAGCAGGGGATGTTGAACTCTCCCTGGAAGCAAGGCCCTGTCCTCCCATCTGACTGGGAGCTTCCCCAGGTTGGGGCCTTCCTTCTGCTTCCTCAGAGCTGGACACTGTCCTCAGCCTCACTACACACATTCCCAGGGAACTGAACCGCTCCCAGCCCATTCTGGACCTGGCCTTGAGGCTCTGTCCATGAAAGTCCTTTGTGGTTGGCTGCATTTAGGAAAGTCCAGGACTCACCCCATGACCTTGGCCTCCAGGTCAAACTGAGGAGTGAGGGAGGGGTGGGAGTGGGGGGTGGGGGGGAGAGGAGCAGGCCTGAGGTGAGGCAGTGGCACACTCACTAGCACTTCGGGCCACTGCGCTCCAGCTTGCATGTCCCGAAGTGGCAGTCCATGGAGGCTTTGAAACCAGGCATGCAGCGGTTGATGCAGTTTGGTTGCAGGTCCTTGTACTCCACAAAGAAGTATTTAGCCAAGTCTTTCCCAGCCCTTTCCCGGCAGACCTCTGAGGAGGCATGGAGACACATGATCAAGAGTCTGGGAGTGCTGCCTGCCTCCCCCCGCCCTCCCCAAAGCCCCTGGGCCACCTACCTTCAGGGTTGTATTGGGTTATCGAAACGTTTTTCACCTCTGTGGCAGTTGTATTGAAGCACAGCTGGGCTGTGAAGGAGACACAAAGTCCCTGATGAGCTTGTTTAGAGGCGGCTCAGGTGTGTGTGGGGGAGGGCATGGGGCTGTGATGGGGGAGGTGGAAATCAGTTCTGCAAAGAGGGAATAGTAGCCTCACATCCAACTCTCCAGAACCATGATTCTCCAAGTGTCTTTCTTCTCCCATTCCACCCTTGGCCAACATCCCCAAAAATGCTCATTGCATTAAGAAACATCTACATTGGGTAATAAGTTAGGCTCCTCCTCGTTTTCCACCTGCACACCTGCTTCTGCATATCTCCTTTCAGAGCCCCTCTTGGCATCTGCCAGTCCAAGTGACAAGCTTTGGGACTGATTCCTGTTCTATGAGTGTTCTCCTGCTTCCCTCATCTGCCTCTTTCCCCTCCCCCAACCCAGGCATCTCAAAGCTTAAAGATTCTTTGAAGGCCTCATGCCCCTCCCCAGAAGCCTAGGAATTTACTTGTGCAGGTATTATTCCTCATTATTTGCTGCTGAGTTACATTCATAATTTTTTTCTCTATCTCTTGGGTGAACTTCTTAAACTCTTCCTTGTATTCCGGGCTGAACTTGGCCTGCAGGATGATGTCATGCTGCACCACCACGCTGCCAGGACTGAGGAGAGAGAGAAAGATATCCTTGGTCATCCCCCCTGGGTGTTAATGGGTGCTCATCTCTCCAACCCCTTCCCCAGGCGAGCTTTGCCCTCTCTGCCTCCATGGGAAGGCAGAGCTGGGAGAGGACGGTTGAAAATGAAGACCCAATGTCTACTGGGTGAAGGCTCCATTCCAGGCACTGTGCTAGGTGTGTCGCTCTAGGACCCATATCACCTGTGCCTAAGAGGGCTGTCTACAAAGGTGGACGCCTCGGGGAGAGCTCAGGGATGAAGATGGACAGATGAAGATGGCACCATGGAAGAGATCATCCTTAAGGTGTACTTAAGCAGGAGACTGGGCAGCTGCTGGCAAGGTATCCATAAGGGGTCATCAGCCACAGAGGAGGAGGCTGCACCAAAGACTCCTACGGGATGTATTAATTTCTAGGTGGTAGGCTGGCTGCAGGAGGTCTGTGAGCCTCTTAAGACTGTATGTAAAAATTTCAAGGTGCATGTGTCCATTTTTTCTACTCCCACAAATATTTGTCAATTCTAAAAGGAGTCCCTGATACCTAAAAGGTTAAAATCCTAGTCAAAAGTCTCTTCCTACTTCCTGTTCAAGATTTAGAAGAAGCCAGCATCCCAGACATGCTCATAGCTTCTTTTTGCTTCCTTTCCTTTTCCATAGCTCCCAGTGCCCCACTCTCTGAGCAAGAATCACTTTCCTGTTGTGTGCTTTCCCATGGCCCTCATAGCCCTCCTCTGTCTAAGGAGGTGGGATACACGAAACCTGTGATGCCTTTAGGCAGGACCATAAAGGCACGGGCTCAGTGCCTGGTCCACAGAGCCCATCCTCCCTCTCTTGCCTGAGAGACTGAGGAACAGGTGAAGTACATGGATGACGATGGGCACTACAGAGCCCCCACCGCCACCCCCATCCCAGGAGCAAAAGAGGGAGCCCTACAGGGTCAATGTATGCAGTCCTGGGGAGTTTTAGGGGCAGAAGGAAAACAGTGCTATTATCTTCCAGGGTGACTGAGCGGCTGAAGAGCAGACATGCCCTACCCTGAGGTTGGCCCTGGCACCTGCTGCACATGCAACCTGGAGGGGGGCTTGGGAACCCCCTGGTCCTACCTGGGAGAGCCTCTCTTGTGTGAGAGAAAAGGTTTCATGTCAGACAGGATTGAGGGAGGAAGAATAATGAAGGCTGGTAAACACAGTCTTTTTCTGTGCTTTTTGTACAATTTTTTTTTTTTGGTTATAAGTTCCCTTTGAAAATTATCAATGGTAACTCTGTAAACCATGAGAAAGGCTATTTCCCTTGTGTCCCAAACGATTTCATAAAATTGGCGTCCATCACAGTGTAATAATTCTGTGTGTGCGGCGTGAAATCCTATCCTAGGTGAGTGGAAGGGAAGACAGGACAACTGTGGACTTGGATGCCTTTTTTCCTGGGTGTTTCCCTTTACAAGCGAAGTTATTTGGCTTCATCAATCAAGACTGATGGGGTGTCCATCACACAAGTTGTAGCCTCAGGCGTTCTGGTGTCTTGGTGTCTTGGCACTACCACTCTGCAAACGATCCCTCAAGCAACTCACTGCATCTCTCTAAGCCTCAGTTTCTCATGTGCACAATGGGAACAGCCTAACTGACCTCATTCACAGGGTGGTTATGAGCTTTCAATTGGAAAATGTATGTGAAACTCTAATTATTAAAGGGTTTTATGGGCTGAATTGTGTTTCCCCCAAATCTATAATCCCCTACTACCTCACAATGTGTCTATATTTGGGGATAGAGCCTTTACAGAAATGATTAAGTTAAAATAAGGTTGATAGGGTAGGCCCTAACTCAATATGACCAGTGTCCTTAAAGGAGGGGGAATTTCCCCTTGTCAGTGTGGCTCAGTTGGTTGAGCATCATCCATGCACCAAGAAGTTGCATGTTTGATTTCCGGGTCCGGGCACATGCCCGGGTTGCAGACTTGATCCCCAATGTGGGGCATGTAGGAGGAGGCAACCAATCGTTTGTTTTTCTCTCGATTGCCTTTCCCCCCCCCCTCTAAAATCAATAAAGACATTTTTTTAAAAAAGAGGAAATTTGGTTACACAAAGAGACACCAGGGACCTACATGAACAGAGGAAAGATCATGTGAGGATACAGCAAGAAAGCAACTGTCTGCAATACAAGGAGAGAGGCCTCAGAAGAAACCAAACCTGCTGACACCTTGATCTTGGACTTCCGGCCTCCAGAACCATAAGAATTAAATATCTGTTGTTTAAGCCACCCAGTGTGGGATATTGTGTTACGACAGCCCTAGCAGACTAATATTGAGGGCATAGTTACAATTGTCTTTATAATTATGAGTATAGCTTCCAGTCCATAGACTTTCTTCCTAGGAACTCCAGATACTTACCTCAATTCTGTGATGTTAACTCCTGCATATGCAGGGATTCCGGAATAAACTTTGTCCATCTGAAAGACAAGGAGGCCACTGTGTTATCCCAGGGGCCCTCCCTGGGGGTCTTCTAAGCCTTTCTGTGGAACAGTGGTTCTCAGCCTTCTGGCCTTTTAAATACAATTCCTCATGTTGTGACCCAACCATAAAATTATTTTCGTTGCTACGTCATAACTGTAATGTTGCTACTGTTACGAATTGTAATGTAAATCTCTGATATGCAGGATGGTCTTAGGCGACCCCTGTGAAAGGGTCATCCGACCACCAAAGGGGTCTTGACCCACAGGTTGAGAACCGCTGCTGTAGAATCTCAGGAGGGCAGAGGAAGGACATGCAGCATCTCCCAGCCCCCATCCCCAGCTGACAGAGGCGCACTGCCCAGACAAAGTGGTCTCTTCCCAGAGACCAGCCCAACCCCTGGGCTCCTGGTGGACTCTTGCTTCCTCTTTCTCCTCCCTCCCTGGCAAGCCCTGAGGAAATGGTGAGCTGAGAAACTCACACACCTGTAGCATGGCCTTCATCTACTTTCTTTTTTTTTTTTTTTTAAATATATTTTATTGATTTTTTACAGAGAGGAAGGGAGAGAGATAGAGAGTTAGAAACATCGATGAGAGAGAAACATTGATCAGCTGCCTCCTGCACATCTCCTACTGGGGATGTGCCCACAACCCAGGTACATGCCCTTGACCGGAATCAAACCTGGGACCCTTCAGTCCGCAGGCCGATGCTCTATCCACTGAGCCAAACCGGTTTTGGCCATCTACTTTCTTAACACTTAGAGATTCCTCCCTGGGGAGATCTGAGTAGCAATGGGGACTTGCTCTCCCAGGCCCACCTCTTGGGTGAATGTCTTCTCGAAATCCAGGAACGCTGTAGAAGACCGGTTATTTAGCTCTTCGGTGAATTCCTTATTGGTCACTGTCACAGACAGTTCAACCTGGGCAGAGACATCCTCCGGAGGCTCTGAGGGGGTCAGACAACAGCATCACTTATTGAGGGCAGCACCCACTGAATTCCCTACCAAGGAGACTCATACCTCTAGGGTGGAAGAGTAGCTTGGGCCCCCACCCTCAATCCCCACTCAGTTATCACCAGAGTATCCCTGGAGAGAGGGGCTTCACTGTAAACTTCATGGCTTTTGAATGGAGTCCAGGGGATGTTGGGTCTTATATTCTATTAGAGGCCCGATGCACGAAATTTGTGCAAGGGGCTCGGCCCTTGCAGACCTTCGCAGCCCTGGCTTCTTCCGGAAGGTCGCCTGGATGGTCATTCTGCTGTTCAGTCTAATTAGCACATCAGCTCTTTATTATATAGGACTAGAGGTCCAGTGCATGAAATTTGTACACGGGTAGCGTCCTTAGGCCTGGCTGGCGATCAGGGCCAATCAGGGCCTTCCTTCCCCTGGCTGCCCGCTGCTGGCCAGGGCCTTCCTTCATTCCATGCTGCCCCCTGATGGTCAGCACATGTCATAGCGAGCAGTCAAACTCCTGGTGGGTCAAACTCCCGAGGGGACAATTTTCATATTAGCCTTTTATTATAAAGGATTAGAGAATTCTATACACTTCTTGCATTCTGCCCCATCATATACTCACTTATTTTAGGTATATCCTTTGGTAAAATTCTGTACCAAATTTTTATTTTGTTCCAAATGATACCTTCTTTATCTATTTATTTATTAAATATTTTTACTTTCTTACCACTGGATAAAATGGTTGCCCCAGAAAGAGGCTATATTCCTGGCCAAGGAGGAACAGGAATGGGTGCCCAGCATGAACGTGGGGCCCAGGGTTTGGGAAGAAAGGGCCCCGCAGTTTTACTCACTTATATCACTTATATCAATGCTTGTGATCACATCCTCACACCTCGGCCCCTGATAGAGGCTGGTGCACACACACTTGGTCCCATCCCAGCGGCCTCCGTTCTGGCAGATCGGGGTCTTGTGCTGGCATTGATCTCCTCCAAAGCCAGGGAGGCATTCACAGACCTTTCCGTTCCATGTCCCTCCGTTGTAGCATGGGACTGAAAGGAAAAGGCCCACCGTAACCACACATATTTGCATAGTACTTTATAGCTTTCAACATATTTTCACAGACATGTTCTAATCTGATATTGTCATGAATCCCCAGATGGACAGGACAGTATCATCTCCACTTTACAGATGAGAGAAGTGAGGTGGAGAGAGGCTAAGGTTCCACCTGGAAGCAGAGTTGACCTGGCTGTGGAGTCCTATTTCCAGCATACTTTACTTTAGTCCTAAAAATCAAGGAATGAAAAACCTGGTGTTGCAAGAAATGGGGGCAACACAATCAAGACTGAGGATGAGAAAAAGAGACACAGAGACTGGGAGAACCTAGGGGGACTTGACCAACCTGGAATCCGCCAAGCTTGGGAATAAGCATGGCATTGTCCCTTCAACGCCTGCTTCAGAAGAGCTTGTCCTGGAAGTTTTTGCCACTGTGAGTGTTTATGACTCATTTTTATTTGCTGGAACATGGAGTTTGAGGGAGGAGTGTAGACTTAGTTTAAACACATAGGAAGTGGTTATAGACAATGCTCAAATGTCTATACCAACCAACCTGGAATATCTAAAGCTCTGTTCTCTTTGGCTTTTCTTAAAAAGATCTGTGCCGTCAAAACCGGTTTGGCTCGGTGGATAGAGCATTGGCCTGCGGACTGAAGGGTCCCAGGTTCGATTCCGGTTAAGGGCATGTGTCTTGGTTGCGGGCACATCTCCAGTGGGAGGTGTGCAGGAGGCGGCTGGTCGATGTTTCTCTCTCATCGATGTTTCTAGCTCTCTATCCCTCTCCCTTCCTCTCTGTTAAAAAATCAATAAAATATATTTTTAAAAAAAGATCTGTGCCTATGAAGACCAGTATTTGAGGTATGGTTCCTCTGGGGAGGCACAGGAGGTGTGCAAATACTTTACAAAGGCCTTCCCTACCTCTGCCTCCTGGTCTGCCATCACCAGAGTCAGAGAGCAGGGGCCACACCCATGACAGTCACATCGCACAGTTTATGTTTACAGCCTTTGGTACAAGACATTCTGGAAGAATGGAAGACCTCTCTCTCTCTCTCTCTCTCTCTCTCTCTCTCTCTCTCTCTCTCTCCCTCCCTTCCCCGTGTGTTACTGAAGAATGCTCAGACCTGATTCAAGTGCTTAACCTTAGGCTTCTCCATAGCAGCACAAGCAGCCTCTGGGGTGTGTTCCCAAATGCCCAACAGTCTAAAGAGAAAGCCAGCCTCCGGGGGACAGGGGGACAGGGGGAAGACAGAAGGGGACCACCTGCCATCAGGGAGAGACCAAAATTAGCTTTGGGCTCAGCAGTCATGCATCCACCTGGCATTCGCTATGAAACACCTGTGGGGCTTCCTGGGAACAGAAGGTCCAGATATCCTTTCTGAAGATGCTCAGCTCATCCCCTGAGAACCAGAGTGGATTCACTAAGACAAAGACACATTGGAGAGAGACCAGCGAACAAAGCCACATAATAGAAAGGTCAGGCAAAGCAGAACACAGCAGAGGAAGAATGCACAAAGCCCCGAGAAAATGCAGTAGCCAAAAGCTGAAAAACCACCTTTCATTTTTATCAATTCAAGACAGACTGGGCAGTGCCCTGGACAGACACAGGTCATATGTCTGTGAGCGTATCTATAGTTAATTTAAATCAGTAAAGCTTTCAAGTATTTTAACTGGTATACAGTAAGTCCTCACTTAACATCCTCAATAGGTTCTGTGAAGTGAAATAATATATAATGAAACCAATTTTACCATAATCTGATTGATATAAACTAGAGTTAAGTTACTATGGCATCTCATTATAATAAAACAACATTGAATGAGACAATGTTATTCGAGGGCCTGCTGTACTTTCTTTAATGCATGCCAAATATTCTTCCCTAATCTGATAATAATACTGACAGGTATAACGGTATATTGTATTATAACAGTAGGTATGGAGTGGGGCATTTCTCATTCTAACCAGAGTGAAGAGAGCTGAATGAAATCTTGTGAGTCAGAGAGAAGAGAAGGAGCTATAAGGATGAACATTCAATGACATGGAGGTAGAGTTCAGAGCTGATAAAAGTGAACCTTCTTTTGCGTCTATGGTGATGCTCAGAGGATAAGATAAAACAAAATAAAAGTGAATGGTGGTAGAGAGACAGTGGCCAAAGCCACATGTGAATATTATTGACAACATCCTCCTGCAAAAACAAAACAAAACTTTGCACTTAAGGATGTGCAAAAGCAATGAGAAAAACCTCTCTAAAATAAGTAAAGGTGCAAATGAAAGATACAAAGCTAAGGAAATTATAGCATATAAAATGCAACGGGACAGGCACTTGCAGAGTATAAAAGGGAAGAAACAGGGTGTGTGCACACCTTACTGGGGATTGAAGGTGTCCAGGCAGAGATATAAACTGCGTTGTACAGAAGAGTGGCTCTAGTGAAAGAAGCATCAAGACAAACAGAGAAATAAATGGTCGAGTGATAGGATGCAGAGGTTTTTATTTAGCGGAAAACAAGTAAGAGCATAAGAAGTGAATGAGAAAAGTTTAAGAAGAAAACCACAAAGGGGGTAGATTGAAAAGAAATTTAAGTTTTAAAAAAGTGAATTCAGAAATTACTTACCTGGTATAGCACTAGAGACAGTGGGGACTGTGGTGGAGGTAGCACTCTGAGTGTCAGGTTTTATTCCGGCTGTTGAGGTTGAGAAAGTCGTGGTGGTGACAACCTTAGAGGTTACAGAAGTGGAGGAAGCAGAGGTTGTTGTAGGATTAGAGTGGCTAGAAGTAGACACAGGTGAGGAGGTGCCAGAAACAACTGTTGAAAATGTGCTGCCAGCCAGAGTTGTGGAAGATGAACTAGCCTCTGTAGGTGTTCTCCCAGGAGTGACGCTGTAAGTAGGTACACCAGTTCCTGTTGTAGTTGTAATCTGGGTGTTGGTGTCAGTAGGAGTTGTAGTAGATGTAGGAGTTGTCACCAGGGTGGCACTGGCGATGGAAGTTGTCAAAGATG